AGAAAAAGCTATAGGAGGCAGGGTCAAGGAGAATAAAAGGCCAGGACTTTGAAGGCTGAGGATAATTTCCTATCTCTGAAGAAGAGATGTGGGGGGAGGGGGGAATGCAAGAAGCTGGCTATCTTTGCCCAGTTTCCTTGTGACAGGTGTCAAGCCTTTGAGATGCCAGCCACATACTTAGGTGAGGTTTTCCTTTTGGAGAACCTCCAGGGAATGAAGGAAGTTTAGCTCCTGTGGAACCAAACTCCACCTTCACATCACTCATTTTGACCCCAAGTGCACAGAACAGACATGCTGGGATACATTTTACCACCTCCTACAGTGCCATGGCCAGTGTGTGGTTCACTTTAAGATTCCAGCTTGAATGTGTTTCTCTTCCCTAAATATTTTGTTACATTTTATTTTTATACTCTAGCTTGTCCTGAAAGTTGTACGGTATCAGTCATTTCCAAAGGAACACTTTGCTTCTTTACTCAGATGTAGGTCCCCCACCCCACCCCATTGACAGGAGGCCAGGCTGGCCCCATCGTGCCAGGCAGGCAGATGAAGACCTTTCTCTTCAGAGCATTTTGAGATGTTGGAGTGCTTCCCTAATGCAAAAAAGGAGGCAAATTTCTTTTCTTTGAATGTTGCCGACCTCATTAAAGAAGTGGACTTTGGACAGAGTGGCACTCTCAGGGTTGATGGGACAACATTGATACTTAGAGATGATAACTACGCCATCTCATGCTCTGTTTGTGCTTGTTTGGCTTGGGTGGACGTGGTCAGTTCTGAATGAAGGGTTTCCATGACAGATTGCTTGGAAGGTGCCTTAGAGACAGTGCTGGAACTGAGGAGGCTTGCTGAGAGAGAGCGAGAGCCAGCTGCTGGAAGGGATTTTTCCCACAGATGAAACTTTAAACAAGACTGAACATAGACTTCTACACAATATGGATGTGATTTGGGCAGGAGAAAAGCCCTCTCAATCAATCTTTCAAAGCCTTACTGAGCTGCCATTCCTGCCTGTCTGGAGAAACATGGCAGAGAACATGGGCTTATAGAGAAGGTGGGCTGCCCCCCCCCCCAGCCTTGCTTAGGAGCCAGCAGAGAGGATCCATGCTCAGAGGGACCCAATAAAGATTCAAAGAAAGCATTTAGGGCCAGCCTGTGCAGGAGGCAATCCATTAATAAATTAAATTATTATTACACTATCATTAAAAGGAAAGGAAAATAAATCAATTCATGAACTGACTTTATGCCATTGAAAAATCTAGAGACAAGCATTATTTACTTTTAAAAATAACTATCTGACCCCACACTTTAGTCAAAAAAGTTTTAATATAATACTTGTTCGATTCTTTTTAAATATTTGTATATTTACTGTTTTTAACTTTTGAATATTGTCTTTTTAATGATGTGGATCCCTTTTGGGGAGAAAGGTGGGATAGAAATATTTTAAATAAATATTGTCTTCAGTGCAGTGGAGGCTGATCCATTCACCCTGATTCTGCACTAGTCAGAACGTATCTTGAGCCCTGTGTCCAGTTCCAGGCACTGCACTTTGAGCAGGATGCTGACAAATTGGAACAGGTTCAGAGGAGGGCAAGAAGGATGATTAAGGGATTGGAAACTAAGCCCTATGAGGAAAGATTGAAATAACTGGGCATGGTTAGCCTTGAGAAAACATTATGGGGAGATCGGATAACACCCTTAAAGACTGTCATACAGAAGACAGGCAGGATCTGTTCTCAATCATCCCAGAGTGCAGGGCACATAATGAACTCAGGTTTCAGGCTTTCAGTTGACTATCAGGAAAAACATCCTGTTAGAGCAGTATGGTGATGGAACTGATTACCTTGGGAGATGGTGAGCACTCCAATGCTGGAGGCATTCAAGAGAAAAATGGACAAGCATCTGTCAGATATACTGTGCTTAGGATGCCTGCACTGAGCAGAGAGTTGGACCTGATGGCTTTATAGGTCCCTTCCAACTCCATTATTCTATTACAGTGGTGCCTCGGTTAGCGATCACTCAATTGAGCGACAAAATCACTTAGCGATGGGGTTTTGGCCATCGCAAGAGCGATCACTTAGTGATGGTCCCTATGGGGAAAATTCACTTTGCGATGATCATGGGGAAGCGATCGTCGCAAAGCCCCCAGTTTCGTCCAGCTGATCGGCGGTTCCAAAATGGCCACCGGGTAAACAAAATGGCTGCCCACTGTGTTGCCTCGCTTTAGAGGCACCGAAAATGGCCGCCCCTATGGAGGAGCTTCATATAAGGTTAGTTTTGAAGCCCATTGGAAAGCATTAAACGTGCTTTAATGCCTTTCTATGGGCTTTAAAAAATCTTAGCAACGTTTTCCTGGAACGGATTAATGTCGCTAAGCGACATTAATTTGAGCAAGCAGGACCCCAGCCCATCTCAGGCTGCTCCTAGTCAGCCTGCTTCTTCCTCCCTTCTTACCCAACGCAAAGGCCAGTGTCTTGCTGGTGTTCCACATGCCCTGCCCATGTGCCCCACCCCCCATCCACTTCCTCAGATGGTGACGTGACATGGAGAATTGTGAACAAGCAGGAGTCAATAAGCCAATGAGCTTTGAAACAAAGCCCTGAGGGAAGCAGCAGGAGATTGAAACAGTTCAAATTTATTTATTTATTTTATTTAACATATATGCCACCCACACTACCGAAAGGTCTCTGGGCAGCTTACAACAATTTGATTTCAATAAAAAGATAAAAGCACTTAAAATACAATGCTCTAAAAATTGTCATCAGGACCCACAGTTGATATTATTTCAATTAAAAACCTTCTGCAACAGGAAGTTTTTGACCTTGTGCTGAAACGTCATCAATGTTGACGGGATGGTGTTCCATAGTCTGGGGGCAGCTGCCAAAAAGTCCCTTTGTCTACAAGCCATCCCACTTACCTCCTTGAAGGACGGCTCTTCCAAAAGGGCCCCCTGGTTAGATCTTAACTGCCGAGTAGGTTCATATGTTAGGAGGCGGTCCTTCACGTATCCAGGGCCCAAGCCGTTTAGGGCTTTATGCGTCAAAACAAGCACTTTGAATTGGTCCCGGGCAGCAACTGGTAGCCAATGTAATTTGAACAGAACCAGCCTGATGTGTTCCCTAGCGGCCCCACCACTCTCCAGCCACGCAACTGGATTCTGAACCAGCTGCAGCTGCCAGACCATCTTCAAAGGCAGCCCCATGTACAGCGCATTGCAGTAATCCATACAGGATGTTACCAGTGCATGTGCAACTGTCATGAGACTCTGCTTGTCCAGGTGGAGCCGTAGCTGGTATAAATTCCACAGCTGAAGGGAGGCGCCCCTGGCCACCAAGTCCACCTGGGGTTCCAGAGTTAGACTGGGGTCCAGGAGTACCCCCAGGCTGCAGACCCTGTCCATTGGGGGAGTGCAACCTCATTCAGGGCAGGGAAATGGCCCTCTAGCCTGTCCGGTGAAGCACCCACTAACAGCACTTCCATCTTCTCTGGATTGAGCTTCAATTTATTAACCCTCATCCAGTCCATAATCAGGTCCAGACACGAGTTCAGCACACAAACCGCCTCACGTGGATTGGTGGAAAACGAGAGGTAGAGCTGAGTGTCATCAGCATATTGCTGACTTCTCAGCCCAAACCTCCTGATGACCTCTCCCAGCTGTTCCATGTAGGTGTTAAACAGCATGGGGGGCAGTATTGAGCCCTGAGGAACCCCATGACATAAACGCCATGGGACAGAGCACTGCCGCCCAACATCACCTTCTGGAGATGGTCAGTCAGGAAGGAGTGGAACCACTGTAAATCGGTGTCCCCCAACTCCCAACCCAGCCAATTTGGGGGCAAGACATTTTCCCTGCTCCTTGTGTAGAGTGATTGAATGGGATGGTGGTAACTGTAAATGCAGATGTAGGGGTGTGTGTGTGTGTGTGTGCGGCGCGCGCGCACGCGCTCCTTCACTCCTGGTTTTGCCTGTCATCATGACTCCTGCTGCCTGGGACCCCCATCCCACTCCACATTTGCCTTCTGCCTGCACCCAACTCAATGCAGACTTCCCCCTCCCAGGCAAATGGGCACAGCACTGAGGCCCAGAGCGAAACAGGCTAGAAACAAGTTCCTTGACTTGTTGGGCATTGAGTATACTGTATATACCGATGGAAAGGCAGAATTAACGTTGTGAAACTGATAGGGGATTATGGAGCAGCCTCTTCTAGTACAGTTTGCTAGGAGCTGGCGATGTCACATGTTGTGATCCTCAAATGCATAATATGTTCTCTGCCTCATATCCAAATGTAATTAAAAACCTGTTGTTGATTTTAAAGAGACGTATGATCCCCGGGGTTATTAGTGAGATTAAAATGGTTCGGAGCCAAGGAAAGTCCTTGTCAGCAGCAGCAGCAGCAGGTTCAGGAAATCTCTGGGCCCCGGAGACCCGGATGACACACAACCTTCCGACGGTCTGGATGTTACTTAGCATGCAGGTCCTCTCGTCCTGGTGACAGGTCATGCGTAATTGGGCTGAATTATAAGACTGCGCGCTTTCCCTTATCGCCGAGCAAAGAGGAATCCTTGTTAAACTAATAGATGCTATTAGTTTACCGGGGGATCCCGAAAGGCAAGAAAACCCGCGGCAAATAAAAGCCTGGAGATAAAAATAGGAAGTGGGTTGGGTCCTTTTGGCGAAGAAACCGTAGGTTTCGGTCCTGCCTACCGTGACCCGAATTAACACGCTCATCCGTGCAAAAGAAGAGGGATATGCAGCCAAGGCGTCACTAGGGGGCGCTCTTCCCCTTCCTTCTGGGCTCCTTCCTTGGTCCTGGTGCTCTCCCTGTGGTTTACTGCAAAAGTTTTTCTTAAAACTAACAATACCAGTGTAAGGGAGTGCTGGCTGCTGATTGGCTGGGGGATTTTTATGGGTTTGATTCCTTGATTGGACAGGAGCTGCTGGAGGTGGGAAGAGTGTTGATGGTGCGCGCGGGGAGGGGGCAGCCGCTCTCTCTCCCCCTCCCTTCAGCCTCCGTGGCTGATCTGGTTCTCACTGTACACTTTACTACCGCTTGCAATGTGACACTAAAATATAGACTCTCCCGCTTTCTCACACACACACACACACGCATACACACACATACACCCAAACATCCCCTCATACACACACCCACGCACGTACAGATACACGGGCATACCTACACACACACACGCACACACACGCGCATACAGGGAAACACACACGGATCCACGCGGAGCACTGGGTAATCCAGAGTGGAGTTCGGAAGAAAAAATATATATATACACACATATATCTATATAGAAAGAAGGAAAAAAGGGGAAAAGCAACGAGCAGGGAACTAAATCGGGTCCAAGAAGGATCTATATTTTTTCTTCCCAAAAGGAAAAGAAAAGAAACGAGAGCCATCCTCCCGATCCATCCTTCGTTCTCCTGCATCATGTTTGGGGCTCCCATGGCATTGGATTTTGTAGTGCTTTTCTGCCTGGCGTCTGCGATTGCAGCTGTGGAAGGTAACGCGCGGCGAACAGCGAAAGGGCTGGCGGGGAGGGAGAAACTTTTTGCGTGGGGACGGTTAAGCCGATTGCTCAGTCTGCTGTTATTGCTGCTCCGAAGTGGGTGGGCGGACGGACGGGCGGTTGCGGAAGGGAGAAGGAAAGGAACGAAGGCATCCACGCCGTCTTCTGCCCGCCCCCCGGGGACCCCTTTCGCGGGGAGAAGGACGGGCTGGCGGGGGCCAGGGTGGCAGCTGGCCACCCTCCCTGCTTTGCAAACCGACGGGTCTCCACCACCCACCCCGTCTGAGGGGAGAGGCGACAGGAGTCGCGCGCGCGCGCGTGCGTGTGTGTCTGTGTGTGGACACCCCGGGGTGGGGTGCGTGGGGAGAGCCACCCGGCAGGAGTGGGGTGCGCTCCCGTCGCCTTCGCCGAGCGGCTCGCCCGCGCCCTCCCTGGCCGCGGGACCTCCGTCCCGAGGGGGGAGTCGGTGGCCGAGTGCCTGGGGACCCTTCCGGAGGAGTTAAAAATCATTTCCCTGCCAGCCCGGTGCCCCCCCCTCAGCTCGCTTTCGGGGATGGGGGGGCACCCATTCCAAAGGGTGCGGTGGGTGGTGGTGGTGGGAATAGATGGGCGAGCCCCCGGCGACTGCAGCCGGCTCTCCAGCGTCCGGATCGGGTGCCTTGACCCGATGTTTTGCGAACCGGGTCGTTTCTCCTCGATGTCCCCCCCCCCGGGAGAAAGAGGGAGGAAAGCGAGGCGGGGAGGGGCCGGGCTGCGCGTCGAGCTTTGAAATCTTCCAGATGTGGAGCCCGCCGCGTCCCCTGACGCCTCATTGACGTGTCATTCCGGCGCGCTCGCTCTCTGCGGGCGGATCGCTGTACATCATCGGGCGAGACTCGAGTCGGAGCGCTGATTGCAGCAAATATATCACTGGGGTCGGAAGACCCCCAGCTCTTTCCCTGCCACCGCCGCCGCCGCCGCTCCTCCTCCTCCTCGGGGCTGCAGGCGGGCGGGGAAGAAAAATCTGCCACAGCTCTCCCCCACCCCACCCCCGCAGCCCGGGCATGGCTCGAGATTTGACTCACACCCTTTTCCCTATTCTCACCCTTGTCCCCAAGATGATGATGGTGCAAAGCAAAAGGCGAGCGGCGAAAACAAAGTTTCGCGTTCACACAAAGCGCGCGGGGGGGGGGGGGTAGGAGAGAAAGAGAATGTGTCATTTCCCCAACCTAAACTACTCGCGTGGGAAAGAGCCACAATGATGAAAGACTTCGGGGTAGGACACTGAAAAGTCCTTCTCTTGTTAGGAAAATCTCTCTCAAGGTGCGGATTTATTTTTTTTAAACCCGTTCTCAGGAAAGCTTGCTGCCAGCTCTGCTTTAATGGCAAAATGACAACAGGCGGCCACTCCAAGGAAGCCCGCCTGATGCTCCTAAGCCGAACCCCGAAACTGATCGGCTGCTCCCTTGATGCAACAGGGTTAGCGATGAAACTTATCAAAACCTCTAAATCTCTTCCTTGCTGCCTTAAACCCCAGGAACCCCGTTAATTGGTTAACGTGGGCCCAGCTGCTTTCAATCACAGCGTGACAACCCAAATCCCTCTTTTTTTGTCGTTATTTAGGGCTATGGGGGGGGGATCCACCTTTTAAGCATCTCCCTGCCTTCCAGCCCCCATTGATGTATCTGAGGGATGAGATTAGCCAGGGAGGAAGCATTTAGGATATCTTTTTCTTTTTAAAAGGCGATTTGATTCCCCTTGTACACTGATCTTCTCCCAGTTGGGTGTCTTTGCAGGGACTTCATTTTTATTTTTGTTTTAATGGCCAGATGCCAGGGAGAGTCTTTCTGTTTGCTCCCTGACACCAGAAAGGAGAGGGATGGCCCTTTGAATATTGCTGGATTCTGTACTGCTGACAATTAGAAGGCAGGAGTTAACCATGGAGAGATGATAAGGTAGGGCTCAGAATGAAAACCTTAGCTGCTTTGCACCAGTTTTTGCTTACTGGGGGGAAAATTAGGGAAACTATTGTTAAGTCCTTGGCAGCAGGCATAATCTGTATGGAGACAGGAAAAAGTGAAGATGATTTGTTTAAGTATACAGGATAGTAACTGCTTAATTTGTGTAATTGCACTCACATTTTTTAAAAATTACGGGTTTGTATTTGGTGTAGTCAAGCATGAGAAGGCATGTTTCAGGGTATGGTCCAGATTCTCATAGATAGATTGAAAGAGTCTTATTTCCATGGCTGGGATTTCACTGATTTTATTCCATTTTGGACTTGGTCCAAAGGAGGCAAATGCCCTTTTGATTGATCAGTGGGTGTAGCTTGGTCAGGAAGGCATCAACAGATTATGCCACTTCAGTAAAGGGGAAGCATAGACAATCTCCCTTACTTCTTGGATAAGAAGCCATCCTTAGAAATTTGGCCCAGCGATCTGTCTTTTGAAGGATTGTTTCTACATCCCTTTCCTTCCCACGATGTGCCCAAATACTTGCTATGTTTGGAAGAGTTTGCAAAAGAAAACTATATATTTCCTGTCTGCATTTTTTCATAAGGCATGTAGTGGATTCATAAAATTGAATCCAAGCTGGCATCGGTGGAAGATTTCATGAAAGTGTCCTCAAAGCTAATTCTTAAACAAGCAACCACAGGGCAGTAAAATCACCATTCACTTATCCTTGCGCCCCTGTGACATCTGGTCACATGTGATGCTGACCACAGTCTAGCAATCTTGTTGACTGTATGGGGAGAAGAGGTATGAATCAGCCTGTACTTCAGTACTACATAATAAAGGCTCACAACTAATTTTCTTCCCCTTAGCTCCCTCCTGTTCTTTTCTTTTTGTTCTGGAAATCACAGGAGGGTAGAATTGAGCTGACCCCAGGGTAAGCAGCTTTGCTTACCCAGCTAATTCCTAGTAACCACAGTGAAAAATGTCTTAGATCTTGGCAAAGCGGAAACATGACAATGGCTGGGAGTGGCAAGGGCAGGATTTCACAATATTGGTGCCCCTGCTTGGGACTGGATGGCTTTAGAGTTATGGCCTTGACTGTAGAAAACTGTTGTTACCCACTGGGAGAGGCAAAGACCGAAAGCAAGAGAGGGAGAGGAGAGAGAGTGTTGATGATACAGTCATAACATTAGCATCATGGAGCTTGGGGCTGTAGAGCATCTATTAATATTTGTAGAAAACACAAGTTGGAGAAAAATTGGCAATGAATAGTAAGTGACCAAGTGGGTTGTCTTAGTGTTTCCAGGAACTGATCACTCAATCCATTGCAATTAATGGGAAAAAATTAGAAGTTGTCATGGGAAATTCATATGAGGAGTTGGGAACATCCTTCATATTTAGTTTGCTTTTCGGTTAAGATGTCTGAAGGGGGTGAATTCACTTGGTTCTTTTCATCTCTGCCCCCATTGTTAAGGATTTTAGCACTACTTATACAGGAGGTAAGCAGCCTTGATGGTTTGGATGACAACTCCCATAACCTCTCATGCTATCTGGGGACAATAGGAATTAAAATGCACAAAGTTGTCTCTTCCTGAGTTGTGCAACTTTGAAGCAGAGTATGTCAGCTTTTTTCCTCACTCCCTATGTTTAGGTAACAGACTGCTAGCCTTGAAGCCAAGCCTTGTAAAAATGCACTGATTTTAGAGCCAAAGGCATGATTCACACATGCATCTAAAGCCCTCAGTTTCTTCGCACTCAAGTTTCTGGATGGCTTATGTGGAGTGGCAACTGCATGTGTGAATAGAGTCAACTGGAAAGCATGTCCTTACAGGAATGACTTGTAGTTTTTGTGCTTTGGAATAGAATTATAAACTTGATTGGCCAAGGCAGCTTCCAGTAGCTCCTGGATGGACTATTCTAATCCTTAAAGCTGAGAAGGATTTAATCCCCCCCCTTCTTTTCTTCTGGTGCTAAGCTTGTGTTGGCTAGAAGAACGACTTTCAAATAGGGCTCCTCCTTGTTAAAGTTTTAAAGCAAAACGTGGGGCTTCATAACAGCAGGGGAAAGAAAAATCCAAACAAAACTGAACATATGAACTCAACAGTCCCAGTAAGAAAAAGGAAACATGGATACATTCCTTTTTATTTTGCTGACTGAAATATTTCCATTTTACCTTTTGATCGCCAGACATTTGCCCGATACAAGGTGCTCTACTATGCAGAGTATGCAATTGGAAACTGTTCAAAAGTAGCAGCAAACAAATATTTAAGAACCTAAGAAGGACAGTGGTGGTTCAGACCAAAGTCTGGTCTAGCCTAGTATTTGGTCTCCACTGTGCTGAGCTAGATGCCATGGGAAGCCCACCAGCTGAACTTTCCTGTGATTAACCCCTTCCAGTTTTTTTCCTCAGCAGTCGGATGCTGGGAGGAATACTGCTTTTGTTCCTGGAGGCAGGGCTGGCCTAAGATACTTTGTTGCCTGAGGCAGAGAAGCAAATGGTGTCTTTTACCCACCAGAGTGACAGGTTGTTAGAGTATCTAAAGCCGGTCAGGTTCTTTTCCCACATGAGGCAGAAAATTCCCCAAGGGTCTTTTCCCGTCCCTAAGCAGTAAAAGGACAATAATGACACGTTAAGTAAGGAGTAGTTTGCTACTCTTTCATGGGACTAGGAATTCAATACCCGAAGTGTCTGTCTCACTCTGCCTAATGACAGAGCCGGCTCTAACTGGAATAGAAAAACTATTATGACTGGTGGCCATTAATAGCTTTCTATTCCATAGATTTATTTCATCGTTTCTTAAAACATCCAGTTTGGCAGCGGTTGCTACATATTGTGGCACTTTATCCACTTTAATATCCACTTAACTGCACATCATCAGTTATTTTATACTTTTGTAACAACACAGAACAGCAGTGATAAAACAACAAAGAAAGGAGGAGGAATTCATGTATTCTCACCTCCGTAACTGGCCCTGCTTTCCTAGGGCAAGTTACCGAGAATCTGGATTTCAGTTACAGCATAGGTCTGTTTGAAAGCCAGTGTGGTGTAGAGCATCAGAC